CGCATCCTCTTCCGGCTCTCCAACGTGGAAGAACTGTCCGGCTTCTCTCTCCTCGTGTTCAGCCGGTTCCTCATCGGCGACCGCTCCGGCGCTGCTCCCATCTTGTGACCTGTTGGAGGGGGTCCACCAAGAGGGTTTAGTTCTGCATTTAAACCATGGGTGACCCACCTTCTCACAGTACCAGCACTTGCCATCCATTCTCCCAGGTCCCCTTCCTCCCCCTCGGCCACCTCGGTCTCCGCCACGTCCTCCTCCTCTACCGCCTTGTTGGTTGGAGTCCTCCTCATCCTTGGAGGCTCCTCTCCTTGCACCTTGCCATTTCTTGCCGCTACCCCTCCTTCCTCCTTGCATGGCATAGCTGCTGCTCCCCTCGTCACCTCCTCTCAGTTGACGCCTCCGGAAGTCCTCTTCAAGGATCTTGGTCCGGATCCACTCCAACGTCCACTGATCCTGGTTTTGGGGAAGGTTGAGGCCACTCGTGAAGATCATCCATGACTCCGGCAACAGCGACATCATCTTCACACACTTGGTTTGCTCGGGGTAGGTGATTCCGGCGATGGCGAGCTTGGCGTAGAGTTCCCTCATCTTGTCCAAGACGGGCTGGACAGGTTTTCCTTCACTGAGACGAAGGGTGGAGAGCTCCCTCTCCAACATGAGTGTGGCAACAACTGAGGTGGGGGCATGGAGGTTCTTGAGTACGGCCCATGCCTTGGGCCCACACTCGTCCTCCGGGAGTAAGTGCATGATGTGTTGTCGTTAAGCAAGGTCCAGGCTTTGAGATAAGATTTAGTACCCCGCGGATAAGCGCTCGTCCCAATCACCTTGAAGCTCCGGGGCACTATGTCGTTTTTCACTACCGATCATAAGCTTGAGGAGTCCAATCTGCCGAAAGTACAGCTGCATCTTCCAAGACCAGTTGTCATATCCTTCGCCACTAAATTTGTCGACGGAGAAGTTTTTCAGTACCTCCCTTAGTAGTGGGCCCTGGCTCGTCCGGGCTGTCCTAGGCGCGGAAACTCCAGATTCCTGGCTACCACTACTCGCAGGGGCTGAGTTCCCTTCTTCTCCAGGCGACCCCATCGTTGGATACATCAAGAATGGCTAAGTACCAGCTCTGATACCACGTGTTAACAGCTATAGCCTATGCGGAAGCGTTTAAAGCTTCACTACAAGCTGAAGCTTAGCAACACTTAACTTCCCTTAAGGCCCTCCGAGTGTGACAACTTGTCACCTCCTAGCCAAGGGCCTAGAAAAACATATAAGGGAGTAGTTATGCTTAGCTCGCTTGCAGGGTGAGAGATCTGGTCGCGCAGCGTTTCGGCAACACCATGTGAGTGTTTCTACTCTCGTCAATACGTACTAGTAGAATTCCAGAGTGAAATCATAACAGCATTGATTGAATCAAGCAAGTACAAGCATGCATTTTATATAAACTCCTAAGCACACAGAAGGAAAACACACAAAACGGTTGCTTAACTGGAGTCCAGGACTTCGCCAGATATGCCAAAGAAAACGGTTGTCAAACTGCTGTGAAATTTGGCTTGATTTGCCTGTTGAAGAAAACTGTCTTCAAATTTCATGTCGGCCAAATGCCCTTGCTGACTCCACACATGAGTACTCATGAATGCTCGTTGGCAATTATGAACACTCGTGTGGGATTACCGTTTTCACAAAGTCTCACAGTTGAAAAACGGTTTTCACCGTTTTCTCCCTGTATCGAAAATATCGCGTTACACGCACGACGTTTCCGGCGAAGCTACCTGTACGCCAAGTCAGCGTGGGATTCGGTTTTCCAACCGTAATCCAGAGCTCGTCTTTTCCCGTAATCATGCACGACCTTGACTAACGCGATGAAATTCCACGAGTCAAAATTGACTCCTCGTAAACACTCGTGGATCTGCATAATGCTCCCTCGCCATGAACACTAAATGAATACTCATGAAAATTCGCGATGCCTCGTCGTGAGCTTTCATGAATGAATATGAACTCGCCATGAATGCGAATGAAGTGAAGTGTGAAATGAATGTGGGCGGACCGTTCGTGTGATGCGAAATGATATGAAGGCGGCTGCTTGACGTGCAAAAAATAGCATTTCCACTCAACAATTAGAGAGCAGAGTGAAGCACATTTAGCTACAATACTTTCTCCTGCGTCATTTGCAGCGATGTCGCTTGACATCCTTGTTTTTCCTGGCCGTAGAGGCCAAAACTGCTGATATCTTCACCAACGCACTTCAGCATCGTAATCATCATCGGCTGTGTACTGAACTTGTCCTTGTTCCTTCTGGTCCTCACTTGTTAGGTTATTGATATCTGCTTATTTCTCTGTATGTGTTGCTGCTCATATACGCATTTTGTTCAAGCTATAGGACCCACCAGTAAAAAGGTCCTCGAGGACTCCCTAACGGCACTGGGACTCTTATTTTGGCAAGTTTTGTGAGGACCCCCCCTTTGCCCCAAATCAATTTAAGACCCCCCTGTTTCTAAAAACAGTAGTTGTAAATGCGATTGCGCATCAGCTTTCAAAGGCACAAATTCGAATTCTGACACACTGTTTGTATCAGACTCCGATTGTGACACGCTATTTGTGTGAGACTCGAATTATGACACAGATCAGACGCGCCGCTCATGCGAAATCTGCATTCGACCCCCCCCCCCCCCCCCCCCCCCCCGCCCCATATTCAGGTGTACAGCCTAAATAGCAGATTGTTAAATAAGTGTACTCGGGTCTTAAAAAACTCCTGCCACATACATGTTCACCCTAGCTTTTTTTCCTGCATTTGTAGAGAGCCCCCCGGGTCCTATAGCCAGAACAATACTCTCAGAATCCCAACCACTAGACCATTGGGATAAAAGGGCTTGTTTCAGTAGCGAGTCAGTGCGCCCATAACCCCCCAGGCAAATGTGCCTGTAACCCTTCCCTAGGATCGATCGGGGATCACCAGTGGACCTCTGACACCCCCCCGCACTGGGATGCCCGAAGTGCATACACCGGGATTCGAACCCGAGACCTTCGCTCTGATACCATCTCAGAATCCCAACCACTAGACCATTGGGATAAAAGGGCTTGTTTCAGTAGCGAGTCAGTGCGCCCATAACCCCCCAGGCAAATGTGCCTGTAACCCTTCCCTAGGATCGATCGGGGATCACCAGTGGACCTCTGACAAATACAGTATATACAAACTCTTGGACTGACATTGTAGCCATTTGTCTTAGTGGCTGGAGTACTTGTGCCACCGCGGGTTGCCTCACATGTTTGTTATTTTTTACTAACTTGTCTTGTGACAACTTGTGTCAGAGACGTTCACTAGTAGTACCACCCTGACTTGTTTCCTTTTTATCGTACACTGTGCCTGTTATGTAGGCTAGGGGGTGTGCTAAACTGTATATGTTACAATAGGATGTTATATTTTGGTAGCCTAGATTTGGGTTTGCTATTTGTACCCTCCTTCCTTGTTCAACAATCATTCTCATTTTGACAAAATCACCATAGTTGCTTGCAAGCCCCCACATAGCAGCCTTTTTACGCTGATTTGTGTGATTTTCAACACAAAATCGAGTACATAGGCTGTTTTGTCACAATTTTTTTCTGAAATCATAGTGACTTTTCACTTTCTCGTTTTAAGCCGATTTCACTAAATTGTTGGACAACACTGATTGGTTGCTAGGCCTAGTTGCTGGGCAATTAGTATTGCTCAACATGAAGAATCTTCGACTATCCATCTCACCTATACTTTGTCCAAGCTATTGTGGATCCTTCTGCATTCTCCCATGACAATAAAAATTACTTTTGCCGGATGACTGGAGTGTTCATGATGCCTTCCATGTCAGCCTTCTGGCCTTCTGCCACGTTGGACATTGTCCAACAGAATGCTGCCCTAACAGCTTGCCCGGTTCCAAATGGCAGATATGACCGCGTAACTGCTCATCATACGAAAAAACGGTAAGACTGCCCATCGTACCAAAACTTCGACCGCGATATCGTGGACCGTTCCAAATCAGCCACATGATCACCCCTGTCACCACCCATCTACTGTTGCCGACATACTGGTACATCACCCCATCGTTCCACGTCAGCCTGCTTCGCCCTTACATCCCAACCACGAACCAACTGCCTCGTCACCGCCCGCCATCCATGACTCGCCCTGCATCGGAGCCGATCGTTGAGCCTGAGAAATTTTTTAGCCATCAGATTCGACACCCCACGGGCATGAAGAGGATCGAGTTCCTCGTTCGCTGGAAGGACCGCACACCAACTGGAGATAGCTGGGTGCCCCTGGCCAACATTGAAAACCACCTTGCCCTGCAAGTGTACCTGAGGAGCTAGGATTTTCGCGATATACATGCACTCGCGTAGCTGAGAGAGCTTCTTGAAGGGGAGAGGGGGTAGTGTAAGGAATTTTCTTGACATTCCTTACCGCGACCATCAACACCATGTACAGCAGCAGCCGTTGTTCGCCCGTTACTGCTAACAGGACTTCGCCAACTTCGCGCGCACTGTTTCACCAAAACATGTACCGCTGGCCCGGCCGAGTCGGCCTACGGTCAGGGGCGAGCCCGAACCTCGATGCCAGCCTAGCACTAGCTAGCTCGCACGCACTGCGTAACCGTTGCATGTTTTCGCACATAAGTATTCGCTCATGCCTTCGCTCATACTTTGTATCTTTTGCCCACATAGTGCAATCCTCGCTACCTCGTTCCATTGCAACCGTAACACCTAAATGTAAATTACCTCCTCAGCAGAACATGGCAAGCCTGTGATGACCACTATAGCGGAACTTTTACGACACGCTACACGCAGCACCCAGATCTGATTGCCGATTCCGCGATTCTTACCAGTCATATTTGGATGTGACCGTTGGAGATTTAGAGACGTCTATACAAGCTTATTTGTGAACTCCTTCTGTGTTCATCTCTGTGTCTGTTCGCGGACCATTCGTGTTATTCGAGCGAACCATTTCCCTTAGTCCAGATTACCATTCTTTCGCGCATATTCTTGAGATGAAGATCACGTCAATCTTGATTCTCAAGGATACAGAAGATGGGGAGCCAGTGTTGCTAGCGAGTGCTACGGACCTTAGCAGTTTCGGCTACTTTCAACGAGGCACGGTCAAGGAGATGATCTGGTTTGTTTCGCGAACGATCGCCAGACGAACACCTCCTGGCCGGCGACAAAGCGTCGAGCACGAAGGTCAGTCTCAAACGAGGTAAAGAAGTGAATTGCAAGTGTTAAAATTCACTCTCCACGACAGAGCCTCGACCACGAGGGTATCCGGTCCGGTCTCCTTCTCGGCACATCCTTTTCTTACGCGTTCCGTCTACATGATTCGATTAGGGCGAACGTGCGAGATGTCGCGTAAAGAATCTCTGAGTATATGTTGCTTCGAGAGTGTTTTTTCTTGCCCTGGGCACCTGACGGTCCCCTCCTCGTCACTGCTCGGTGTCGGTTCATCTTCCGTCCAACCGACACACATCGGATGAACCAACGGATAACGGATGTAGAACGTTTTTTAAACTACGTCGAACGGTCTCGGCGAAGAGTATCTGTGCTCTGTTTGTTACGTCTCTCGTTCCTCGATCAACAACGATTCTTTCCGCCATCGTCTCTCCCTGTCACTGTCCCTCACCCCGCCCCGCCCCGCCCCCTCCCGCGCACCCCCTTCGCCAGAGTACTTGGTGCATTGTTACAACCGTAACAACCTCGTCGGCATGGTGTTCGCGAGCGCCGCCTATCCAACCCGCAGCGCCTTTTCCGTGATCAACAAGGTGAGGCGATGTCCTCTTGACGTCTGAGAAACGGAGATATCCAACTTGATTGACACGTCAGCAGTGAGGAGCAGTGAGGGGCAGCGAGGAGCAGCGAGGAGTGGTGAGGAGCGGTGAGGAGCTGTGCGGAGCAGTGAGGAGCAGTGAGGAGAGGAGTTGTTTATTCGTGCATCTCTCGATCTAGCTATTATCGTCATTCCTTTGCACCTACTGTTCCTTTTACTGGCCTCTGGCTGCCTTTCCACCTTTTCTCCCTCCCGCCTCGCTCCTTTCGCTCGTGTCTTGTGCTCCCCTCTTTTCCCTCTCTCTCTCCCTTCCCTCCCGTTTCCACCTACCCGCTTGTCCTGCTCTTCCACCTCTTCTCTCTCTCCTTGTTCTTGTCATCCCCTGTATACCCATTTCCCACTTCGCAAGCTCTCATTCGTTCCTTGATAGCTCCCTTCTCCTTCCCTTTGCACCTCCCTCTTCTGCCCAGTACTCACTACCACCCGTCGCCCTTCTCCATCCCCATCCCTATTCCCATCTCTATGCCCATCCCATCCCCATCCCCATCCCCATCCCCATCCCCATCCCCATGGCGGGCAGGTGCTGGACGACTACGTGGCGGCGAAGGGCGACTCGTGGATGCAGGCGACGGCGGACGACCGCGAGCAGCACGCGTTCCTCGAGGACGCCATCGCCAAGTTCCAGGTGCGCACGGTGGCGCGCTGTCAGGGCTGGTGTTCGGGAGGGCGGGAGGAGTGGGTGGGTGAGGGGAGGGAGGGCGGGGTGGGGGGGGATGGGATGGGAGGGAGGGAGGGAAGGGTGCGAGGGAGGTGGGTATTTTGAGTAAGGAAGTGAGGGAACGAGGGAGCGAGAGAGGGAGGGAGGGATGGATGGGTGGTTAGCAAGTCACGGAGTGAGTTAGCCATGTCGTGCGCGCAATGGCAAGAACGCGTGCTGGAAGGAAGGATAGGAAGGAGAGCAAGGGTATGCCAGTGTCGTAAGGACACAGAAGTAATTGCTTCTAGAGCATGCCATATGGTTTTGTTTCGCTTTGACGTCCAGATGCGCTTCCTCCTCATATGTCGACATGGTCCCCCCCCCCCTCCCCCCCCCTTGCTTGGGTGCGGCACATGGCATGTGTGTGTGGCACATGGAATGGGTGTGAGTGTGTGGCACATGGCATGTGTGTGTGGCACGTGGCATGTGTGTGTGGCACGTGGCATGTGTGTGTGGCACCTGGCTCATGTGTGTCACACATGCCTCATGTATGTGGCATGCGGCATGTGTGTGTGCATGTCATATCATGTGTGTGCACGCCATGCCTGTGTGCCAGGATCCTGTGGAGGCGGATAAGCTGATGAAGATTCAAAAGGAGCTGGATGAAACTAAGTTCATTCTGGTGTGTGGCACGTGGCATGTGGGCTGCTGCGCTGCCTGCTTCCCCCTCCGTCTCATGAATATTAAACTGTTGAAACTGTTTCTCTCACCGCATCACATGCACCAAATGCCGATGCATGATTGCATTTCGGACTTCATTTCCAACCTTGTGTATTTGTGACACCTGCTTCCTCATGCTCCCCACCCAGACCCACCCCCCCCTCCCCCTCCCCCCCCCCCTGCTCCGCTCACACCCAACACTCCACACGCCACACCCCACCTACGCTTACTTCTCTCCTGCACCTGCATTGGCGAGAGAATGCTATATTTGTGCATTTATTTTGAGTTCTGACTGGCACTCTTGTGAAGCGCCATCCCTGTGTCACCCCTCACCTCTTCTTTGCGTGTGTGCATGGCTTGCGTGTGGAATGGAGTGTCTGCTTTTGCACACGTGTTTTCATGTGGGCTTCTGCAAACCACGCTCGAATGTGCACGCACATGTGTATGTGCATGTGCATGTGTATGTGCATGTGCATGTGCATGTGCATGTGCATGTGCGTGTGCATGCGCATGTGCATGTGCGTGTGCGTGTGCGTGTGCATGTGCGTGTGCATGTGCATGTGCATGTGCGCGTGCATGTGCGTGTGCGTGTCTGTGTGCACATGTGTGCACGTGTGCTTGCGTGTGTGCATGTGCATGTACTGTGCTGTTTCCACCCTGGGAGCAGCACAAGACGATAGACAGTGTGTTGGAGCGGGGGGAGAAGCTGGACACCCTGGTGGAGAAGAGCAATGACCTCAGCATGGCATCCCAGGTGCGTTTAGCTTACCTTGCCTCGCACACGCATCACGTTTATCCCCCCTCTCTGCCCCCCACCCACCCCCCTGCTTTTTTTTAATTCGGTTTCACCCTATTGTATGGCTGGTGTATGCTTGTTCGTTCCCACTACATGCTGAGGGGAAAGAAGCTGGACAGACTAGTGCAGAATCTCCATTAGAATGTCAGAATTGCACCACACGGGGAGTGGGTGGGGTTGGGGGAAAAGGGGCTGGAAGGAAGCGGGTGAAGGTGGGGAGACCGGCATGAATAAGGTGGTGAGTTGGGGGTGGCGTGATCAGTGGCTGAACCTTCTTTCCAGATGCAGTCTTGTTCTTCTGTTGCTGCTCTATCACTGACACGCATGTGCTGTTTGTTGCATCACACGTTGTGCCCGTGTGCCTTGTTTCTGTGCCATGTGCCTGTGCTGTCGATTATTGCAGCTTTTCTATCAGCAAGCCAAGAAGAACAACCAATGCTGCAAGATGGTGTAAACAAATACGAGCCTTCCAGTTTTGAACTCCCCCTCTCCCATTGGAACATTGGAGCTATTCTTTCAATTGTAGCACAGCATTTTCTACAGTACTGACCAAGAAGTACCAGTGTGTGCTTTAGCCACTTCCATTTCACATTTCCCAGAGCAGCTGCTGCTAGAAAGTGGCTGCTTTTATGTCACTTGTCCCGCTAGAATGGATACATACAGAACCTAAGTTGGACACTGGAAGTTGGTTAAATGCCTCAAGCAATCCACCTTACTAAGGCTGCGCCACAAGATGAATATACTAGCCTTCTGAATGCTCAAAGTTCTACAGCCTCAGTATGTGCAGTCGACAACAAAGGAGTTGAGGAGGAAGAGGAAGTCATCAGCAGCCATGGCCAACTCCATTTTCACCTCGTCCCTTCCCTTCCCATCCAGAAGCACACAGTTGGTTGGACGCTACACAAGACAGTGTGTGTGGAGGCACAGGACAGCACCTGTCAGTTGATGCCATATGTCATCCTGTTTGCATCTAGTGCCATACTCGTGGATGCCCCACCCCATGGCCCCCCACTCCCAACCACGGTCCTGCATGGCTTTCCAAATGCCCCACAGCAGCATGGTGTCAGTAGGTGCAGTCAACAACGAAGGGGTTGAGGAGGGAGAGGAAGTCATCGGCAGCCATGGCGAGCTTAAGGTCCACCTCGCCCCCTCCCATCCAGAAGTAGCGCGGCCGCAGCGCCAAGATGCGATCTGATATGATCACCTGGCGGATGTGGGAGGGTGGCACAGGGCAGAGAGGCGGGTGGGGTGAAGTTGAAGTTTACTAATTAGTCATTGCAGTGCCAAGATGCGATCTGATATGATCACCTGGCGGATGTGGGAGGGTGGCACAGGGCAGAGAGGCGGGTGGGGTGAAGTTGAAGTTTACTAATTAGTCATTGCAGTGCCAAGATGCGATCTGATATGATCACCTGGCGGATGTGGGAGGGTGGCACAGGGCAGAGAGGCGGGTGGGGTGAAGTTGAAGTTTACTAATTAGTCATTGCAGTGCCAAGATGCGATCTGAGATGATCACCTGGTGGGCGGGAGTGGGTTGTCCAGGAAGGGTGGTGTACAGGGTTGGCCTAAGAGTGTGCGAGTGCTATGTTTGGGGGTTTAGAGGCTGCTTGATTGGTGGTTAAGGAGGTTTGTGATAAGAAGGGCGGGTTGAGGTGCAGTGTTGCGGGTGGTGACACGAAAGAGCGAGAGGGGGAGGAGGAGGAGGAGGAGGAGGAGGAGGAGGAGGAGGAGGAGGAGGAGGAGGAGGAGGAGGAGGAGGAGGAGGAGGAGGAGGAGGAGGAGGAGAAGAAGAAGAATGTGTGAATGTGTGTGTGTGGTTGGGTGCACACACTGAGTGGGCAACGAAGGGAGGGACGGTGGACAAAGTGGGGCAAAGAGTAAGGAGAGTACCGGGATGGGAGTGCGGGTGCCGATGGGAGCAACAGCATTGTGCTCGAAGCCGGTGAGAGCCATAGAGTCCTCCTCAGGTGCAAGGCGCACTGACAGCAGCATCCATGCACCCAGATAATCAGACATGCAAGCAGTCAGGAAATCACAATCAGCCACGCACAAACGGCAAAACACAGTGGTAGGTAGGGAGAAGGAGAGGGGGGGGGGGTAATGTCGCTTCAAGTGTTAAGACTAGGACTGGTTGGATATTTTAGAGCTGCGGACCCAAAGGTACATGTTTGTTGGATTAGGGAGGTGAAACATGGAAAGGGAAGGCATGGTAAAGAACAGAAGGTACGGCAGACGTGAGGAAGGAAGGGAAGGAGCATGCGCGCGGACTCCATGACAACGACATGTGTGGCCAAAGCCAGGCAGTGCAGTGCAAGGCACATGGAGCCATCATGTGGCAAGTGAGGACTCACTGTTGATGCGCTTCTTGGGCACTGTCCCGTCGTTGAGTGCGTACACAAAGTTGCGCACCTTCTCCGCGTTCAGCCGCGCTGAGTACTGCCATGCGGGAGACGAGCAGGGGAGGGGTGGGAGGAGGAGGAGGGGTAAGTCCATGCAGTCACAAGTGTCCGTGCTGAAGCCTTGTAGCACAGCATGGCGTGCATGGCATGGCATGGCACACACTCAGCATGCAGTCAGTACGTCAGCGGATTCATGCCCCGATTGCTTGGGACGCCTCTGTGTGGCACATAGAATACTCTGTTGAGACGTGAAAGAACCTTACCTTTGGTCAGCTCAGCATCGAAAATCCTAGTACTCGCAAGTGGTACGGGGCATGTATTTTTATGGAATGGAAATGGAGCAGCAGCATGTGAATGGAGTGAGGCAGGACAGTGTGGTGTGCATGGCATGGCAATGGGTGTCATGTCATGTCATGTCATGTCGCAGCACCTGAATGACAATGATATAGTACTTGGAGTAGCGCGGATTGCTGCAGTCCACCACGTCGGCAGGCGCCTGTGTGTTGGTCTGGTGTTGCACGGGGAGTGGGGAGAGGAGGAGTGGGCACAGGGTGGGGAGGAGGGAAAGGGAGCGAGCGGAGAGTGGCAAAGATATGAAATGGGCGGAGCAACAATGTGAGGAGGTTGGATGGCTGGGGAAGGGAGGTGGGGTGATAAAGGGAAGGGAATGGACGACTTGTTGACAGTGACAAGGACTTGTGGTGAGAAGAAGTTGTGGGGACAAACATATTCCGCTACAGTGGTCGGTCGTTTGAAGCATAGGCCGTTGCTGGTTGATCCATCCCAGTCTGGTCACACTTAGGACCATAAATTATCATCCTTCATCCAACACCCACCATCCATACCTTAGCTTCAACGAGCATACTATGACACGACATGACACATCACATCCTGACATCATTCCCCGACATACTACCTTCACATTATTGTTACGCATGTCATCATACCTGACATGCTTCGCGAATACTACACCATTACAGTACACCACAGCATCACACCATGACGTCACACCATGACGTCACATCATGACGTCACATCATGACGTCACATCATGACGTCGCACCATGACAATGCTCTTGCACAGATGGTCGACGGACGGAGCGCCAAGCACATCTCGCCGCGCTTCCAGCGTCCAATCGTAGTAATCCGACGGCACCCGCCGAAACCGGAATCGCGTGATTCCTCCCGCTCGAATCGCGTCCGCGAGCCGCGTCTGCGTGACGGTCTCATCCCCTGCCGCCACGTCACCAGGCACTGGACCTTCCACATCTTTCAAATCATCGCTTCCTTCCTGCGACGCGTGTCCGGAAGGAACGCCGCGGGAGGCGGCGTTACTTGTGGAAGATTCGAGCCAGCTTCGCTGTGCCGCGGCGGTGATTGCGGCGAGGCGATCAGTGAGTTGGTCGATCTTAGAGAGAATGGCGACCTGACGCGCCTCGAGCTGCTGTTGGGTGACAATATCGAGGTCGGGCGACATGGTAATGAGAGGCGGAAAGGAGGAGGATGATTGGAGGAAAATGAAAATTGCATCAGCTGGGGGGAAGTTTTGATTCGACAATTTCGGTTTTGGTTTGGACGAATTGACTAGGCTGGTGTAAGGATTTACAGAATCCTTACTGAGGCACTCGTTAGCGAGGCCATCCCGAGGGTCACGCGACGAACCTGTCCTTCCTATTTCGTCGCACCGAACCACTCCCGAGTCGCCTCCGCTCCAATCGCAACCATCACCGAGCCATCCTCGCCCAACCTCTCCGCCTAGCTAGGACTTGCCCTATTTAGTCGTACCTTTCTCAGGGTGCGTTCCTGGTTCGTGGCAGGGCAACTGTAGATGGCAGCCGTGTTTTGCGCCTGCCACGTACTGCATATCACACCAAGTTGATGGCAGAATTCACCCGCCAACCATCTGCACGCTGATTGGCTGCGCGAAAATTTGGCACAGTGGCCCAACTCCCAACACCACATCGCCCGCCAAACAATACGTGGGGTACATCTCCACCTTGGTCGCACGTACAAGACAGAGGGTTGGTTTGGCCGGTAAAATTCCCGGCGCCAAACCCACGAAATTGTAAATCCATCTCCCGCGCCGCCAGTCCAGATCTGGTTTAGCACCATCCCCTTCATCGCCGTGATGCTGTGGAAACGAAAACTATAGCACAACTCACGCGTCACACAACCCCAACTCCACCCGTTCAACACGCAAGCATAGTCCCATAGCTAGCACACACCATGCCACCACGGAAACAGAAACCGAGCAGAAAGGGGAAGGAACAGGCCGACGATGACAAGCCCTGGGAGGATCCACCATACGTTCAGTGGATGAAAGAAGAGCAGGAGCGTGGTAGAAACCGAGGGAAAATCAAGCACGAACACGCTCCTCGGCGCGACGGAGCAGGACCTAGCTCATCGCGGGCTGACGGCGCCGACAGCTCGGACGGAGGGGACACTGACATCTCGTCCGACGAACTGGAAGAGATTGTGTCGTCGAGCGGCAGCGATAGCGACAGCGACAACTCCAAAGCCGCTTCAGAAAGCGACGAAGACGAGTCGGCGTCGGACCCGGATGCCTCGGAGGCCGGACCTAGTAATAGCAAGCGGAAGCGCAATTCCAAGACTAAGCGCGCTTGGACCGACGAAGAGCTCACGGCATTGGCTGCGGCCAAATGGTACACCCGCGAAGATCTGAAGCAGATGCGGGGTAAGCAGGGCAACCAGTATTGGAAGAAGTTGCGCGCGCACATGAAAAAAAGCGGCACCAAGTGGAGGCGCAACAGCACTGCCATGCAACACGCTTGGAAACGCATGGAGGCGGAGTACCGTGACACTCTGCGCAACAACGGGACAAGCGGGCGGAAACCGAAGAGAAAGAAGCCCTGGTTTGAGTACGTATACCTGCTCAAACGCATCCCTGCAACTGTCAAGCCTCACGTCGTCGAAGGCGGAGGCGCTGGTGAAAGCCACGTCGACCCGCAAGCCCCGCTCCAGCTCGACGCCGATATGCCCGAGGGGGGTACCACAACCCCCGTGCCCCGTGGTCGGCAACGACGCATGCCTCGTCGCGCGGCCGCCATTGAAGGTAACAGTTGTTCATGAAGCCCCATTCGTCATATACGACAGGGTGTCTATTGGCTCTTCCAAGGCACACGCGGTATGTTCATTTTTTGCAAAGCATCACTTGTGGTATGTGCAGACGTTTGTTAGGGATTCAAAGATGCGTGATCTGCAAAATCCCGGGCATGTCAATGCAGCAACAAGATACGTACAACATTCAATTCCATCAAATGTCTACCTCCCGGCCCTGCCCCCCCTTTCCAGCCACGCCCAGCCCCGTACCGGCACGGCGTTCACGCGTGAACGAGACGGCGAGCATGGCGGCCGCCAAGGTGATTTCCGACACCCTGAATGCGTGCAACGGGCAAGCCATGAGGCAGCTGAGCGAGGCAACGCAGCTGCTCATCGCCGCAATACACATGGCGGCGGGGATGTGGCGACCCCCTCCAGCACCGCCCCTACAGGCGACGGTACCTGCACCTGCACAACCACCTGCCATCGCCAACGACGCGGGCAACGAGGTGAATGCGGCCTTGGTTGACAGGGAGCTGGCAGATGCGCCAGAAGAAGATGAAGGGGCGTCGCCGGATGACATGCAGTCTCGCTAGCCGACGGCGCGGTCATTGCGCCAGGGGCGGTGCCTCCTGCGGTAAGCTCTATGCATGTGTTTGCCGAAATGCTTACGGCGCGCACGATAACCTGCCTGGGTTTCAGAACCAGCCGGCTGCCACCTGTATGCAAGCATGCCGCTCCGGTGGTACCACGGCGGGCCGATGCCTGTCACCTCCCTCCAGCTGTTTGTGTCTTCTGTCATCCTCCGTGGCTGGTCATGGTGCAGGATCATGTTGTGCAATATGATAATGCAGGCGGTTCCGGCGCAGACGCGGGTCAGCTTGCATTCGTGTCGCTTGCTGAAGAGTCGCCACCTCTGTTTGAGTGCGCCGAATGTCCGCTCAACGACCATGCGGGTTGCGGAGTGGACGTAGTTGTACGTCTGCTCCCAGCTTTTCATGAGGCGTCTGCGCGAGGCGTTGACTGGTGTGAGGCAGTAGACGCGGAGCGGGTATGCTGCATCGCCGACAATCTGGAAAGGCGCAATGTCACCTCGCTCGAGTCGTGTGTGCAGGTCAGACTGCTGGAAGACGCCCTGGTCGTGCATGGAGCTAGGATGCCCTACAACATAGTCCCAGATGTAGCCTTTGCTGTCACATGTAAGTTGTAGCTGCGTGGAATAGACGCCTTTGCGGTTGTAATACTCCTGCCGGTGATTCTCCAATCCCTTGATCTCGATGTGTGTGCCGTCAATAGCGCCTATGACGTTTGGCAGCCCCCTAACCGCTTTAAACTCAGCAGCCATGTCCTCCATCTCGTCATGTGTTGGGAAGCGCACCCATGTCCGTTTGAACCGCCGCGGGAAATGCAAGAGAAAAGCATCGACAATCTTGTGCAGGATAGACTTAGGAATGCCGAAGTAAATAGCCATGTCTATGTACGGCATTGCAGAGGCGAAATACTTGATCGGAATCAAGCAGCACATCTCCACCGGGATGCCGTAACGATCCACGCAAAGGCTCATAGGCTGAGCCATCGCGGGAGTAATCTCCGCCAACACCTCTCGCGATATGCGGAACATGTTGATGAAGTCGTCGTCGTCCATCACCTGCAGGTCGTCCATCCATTCCGAGATACGGCGGGAACGGCGCGCTTTGCGTGCACGCTGGAGGCGATCGCGCTTTGCGCGCTGCGCGGAGTCCGATTCTGCAGCGACGCCCTGCATGGTGATCCACTGCACAGCCGCGCTAACGGCCAGGAGGTGGAAGTGCTGTCTATAGAAATCGAACAAGACAGCTAGGGCTAACACGAGGAGAAGACCCAGCCTTTGCGGCATGGCTAGATCCTTTACCAGGTGTGGTTGTGTGCTTCTCGCCAGTGCTCTATAACCGTGACTGCACCGACGCATGCTTGAGTTTACAGTTTGTGGTATTTGGTTTGCAGGAGGGAGTTGTAGTCGAGTCATGGATGGCTGCTAGTTTACAAGTTTCGTTTGATTGCGTCTCGGCCAATGCAATGGCTGGTTGGTTCATGAGTCGTGACTTCTCATGCAGCCGGTTGACCGCTTGGTGCTCCGTATTTGCGTTGTTGTGATTGGTTCGGATGTTTCGCGTGTATGTGTCGCACAATGTTTTTTGAGCTGCCACCAACATCGAGGCGCGCGCGCTTCGGTCCCAAAGTTGGTGGCAAGCGCACACCACGCTTGCCACCAACAGTAGCATGAACAGTGCTCCTGCCACGAACCAGGAACGCACCCTCATTGTATCGTCATTCAGTAATTCAGTACTCGATATTCGTTTTACTGCGCACTCTGCAAGTTCATTCATAACACCTGGTGTTGTTCTAAGCTTCTGAGCAAACCTTGGAACAACAAATGAATGGTTTAGTTATTTGTGGCACACAAATTAAAGTACACACTTCCTACCCAACTACCACACCAAGGAAAGCAATCAAAGAATGAAAGAAATGGCTAGATTTATTGGACCTAGGCAGTTAGATTATCCTTTACAACTCCTCAGCTACATGCCTGGCCCAATGTTAGCCCCTCCATTTCGTGTCGGTCCACCATCTTCCATGCTGTTCAGAATAGAATCTAAATCAAACACCCCCTGTAGGCTCCATACTTCATCCCTGTCCCCTTCCATAGCCGCGTCATTTGTCGCTGTACCCATAGAGGCAGTGCCAACGGCACCTGCTGCACCATCTGCACCAGCAGCAGGAGCAGCAGCTGCATCGGCAGCAGCAGCAGGAGCGGGAGTAGGAGCAGGGGTGTGCGAGGCATCGGTATGGCCCTCCATTGTCCTCCCAGTACCCAGATTCGACCTGATCTCCCAGCCATGATAATGTCCTGCTGACGCACAGTGCACTGGAGTCCCGACATTCGCACCCCACTCTCCGAGAAAACTCAGCTGCATTGGGGAAATCAGGACCCCCGGCACCAGCACTGCTCTGCGATGCAGTTCAGATGTGAAGAGCAGAGGCAGAAGGAGAGACTGCATATCTTCCTCCTCGCCCTCCACTGCTCCTCCCCCCTCTACCACACCCGCACCTGCACCTGCAGCTGTACCTGCACCTGCATCTGCTGGTGGTACCAATGCCGGTGCATGTGTTGCTGCCACTGCTGCCGCCGCTGCTGCTGCTGCCTCTGCTCCCACTCCTGCTGTCGCTGCTGCTGTTGCTGCTCTTTCGCCTTCTTCTCCTGCTGCTACTGCTTCTGCTTCTGCAGTTGCTGCTGGTAGTGCTGCTACCGGCATAGCTGCCGAAGCCGCTGCTTCTGCAGCTTGAGTGACAGCTGCTGCTTCTGCAGCTGCAGCAGCCACCAGACACCCACCCCAGCTTGTCTCCTCTTCCTCCCCTTCCCCCACCAGCCCAACATCCATGGGATCAGCACCCATGAGTTGATCCTTCTCCTCAGCAGTAGCTGGTGAAGGGGCAGCAGGGAGAACAACAGCAGCAGTAGCCGCAGGAGAAGCAGTAGGAGGGGTTGCAGGTGCTGCATTTCTGCCGGAAGTAGGAGTGTCTGCAGCAGCTGTGGAGGCGACGATTGGCTTGGTGTGTCGGGACAGAGGAGGGAGTGAGAGGCGCAGTTTGCTGTCAAAGACCCCCCGCCGCTCACTCAGCCGCCCCTCCTTGTCGATTTCCATGCGCCTGCTGATGCTCCTTTGCAAGCAGCTGATGTTCTGTTGCTGCTGCCTCTGCACACGTACCGTCTCGCTCACTTGACCCTCTTGCGCTCCCATGTCAGGGACAGCGCCATGTGCAGCAAGAGTGGCGGAGAGAGACGAAGCAGCAGAAGGCAGCGTGCCTGCAGCTCCTGCTGCCACTGCTGCCGTTGCTGCCGCTGCCGTTGCAGCTGCTGCTGTTGTTATTGCGGTGGCTGCGCTGGCTGCCGAGGCTGCTGCGTGGGGGTCTGCAGCCTGCACACCTGCTGCAACAGCGGCCGTGATAGCGGCTGCTGCAGCGGCAACAGCTGCGGAGACAGGGTGAGACGAGGCAGTGAATGAGTAGGAGGAGGCGGAGAGGAACGCTGCTACTGTCGCTGGAGGAAGGGCGCTGTGCTTGCTGGGAGAACTCCCCCGTGCAGCAGCAGAGGGCGAGGGAGAGGGAGAGGGCGAGGGGCAGGCTGAGCGAGAGCCAGAGGGACAGGCCAAGGGGGATTCGAAGGCAGGTCCCTGATTGGAAAGGGGTTTCTCTGGCTGCTGGGTGGATGTATCCATGGGATGAGGGCCACAGTTGATATCTGGGACAGAAGTGGAGACAGTGGGAGCAGCAGGTGCAGCAGGCATGGCAGGAGTGGGGTGTTGAGAGGCGGTTAGTTGTCCAGGGAGGGGGTGTGGGGATGCCGCGTCTGGCACGATCCAGTGCTGTGCCTGCTGCTCCCGCTGCTGCTGTACCCACTTCTGCTGCTGCTGCTGCTGTTGCTGTTGCTTCTGCACCGTTCGGTGAAGCAGGCGTGAAAAGCTTTGCGTGCCATGCTTGTGCTCCGAGGACAGAGGGGCAGGGCGGCGATGCGCTGCCGGCAGGGAGCGCGACAACTGGAGCGCCCGCTTCGACACAGGCTTACCACTGGCGGTGTTTGCAGCAGCAGCAGGGACAGCAGGAGCAGCAGCAGTGGTTTCACCGGCAATAGAGGAAGAGGAGCCAGAGATGGAGAGAGACGCGGTGGCGTCAGTGCAACCAGAAGTTGCTGCAGCAGCTGCTGCTGCGGCTGTGGCTGCGGCTGGTGAGCCGAGACGAAGCGGAGACATGGAAACAGGCAATCCTGGTGAAGGCGAAGGTGACGCTGATGGCGACGACGGTGAAGGTGACGGTGACGGTGAAGCTGTCACCTGCCATGAACTCCTGGCTGCTTCCAACGCCATGGCTCCCACGGGGGTTGCAGGTGCTGATGCCGCGACGTGCAATCCAGTGTGCCTCAGACCTGTTGCCGCAGCTGCAGAAGACACAGGTACTGGCGGAAGCTGCTCCGATGCCACTGCCGCCGCCGCCGCTGCTGCTGCAGCTGCTGCTGCCATGGGGCTACCAGCCGCCCATGGCATCGCTGCTGGTGTAGCGCTGCATGAGAGACGCCCACGGAGGGTCCGGATCTCCGAAGAAGCAGTGCGATACGGCGAGCGAGTGGCGGAGCCTGAAGCTCTCACGCTGCGGCTGCGGCAAGCCAGGTCCGCAGCCTCCTCCTCTCCACCACAGCCCTGCACAGCAGGAGCAGCCTCTCGCGCCGACGCAGAAGCGGGAAAAGTCGCTTTGGCCGGAGGTGCTGTGCCAGTGCCATCATATGCCTGCGTGTAGTGCTCCAGAGCGGCGTCAGCTGAAGCAGCGCGCTTCCACGGGCGTCCCCAGGACGACGGCTCTGCCTCCGCGGCACCAGCGGCGCCGGTGGGAGCGGCTGACGGCCGGCGTCGTTTCTGCTTAGCCGCGGCTGCGCTACTGTGCTCTTCCTCCGCGGCGCTGGCGCTGCTGGTGTCGTCGCTTCCGCAGGGATCGGGGGAACTGCACGCGGAAACGCGCTGATGGCTCGCGCTGCTAGGCGTGGGAGTAGGCGTGGCGACATGATGAGCTGAAGTTCGGACGTTCATCGCCGCGTCTCTTCCCTCCGACGCGAGGGCCCGCTGCAGAATTGAGACCGCCGCCGCGGGGAGGATGTCTATTGGCGGTGGGGCCGCGCTCCCAGCCTGCTCGACTTCCTCGCCGCTTCTTTTCGACATCTGTGCGCCGCCGCCGCAGACCAGTGCGCTTTGCTCCTCCTTGCTCGGTCCGCCATGCTCCTCCTTGCCTGGTGCACGTAGCTCCACTCCCGATTCCACGCGAATCTGCGGCTGTGCGCCGCTAGTCCCCGCGCCGCCGCTGCCGTCGCCACCCACCTGCTGCAGCTTGATCGCCGCCTCTTTACTCGCGCGGAGCAGCGCCTCGGCGGTGCCACGTGGCAGCGCCACGGGAGCCGGGCGCTCTCCGGGGAAGTTGAGCTTGGCGGAGCGGCCACGCAGCAGCCGCGCCGCCATGTCGTATACCCGCGCCGCTTCTTCCGCGCTGTTGTAACTTCCAAGCCAGATGCGGTTTCCGTGCACAGGCTCGCGGATCTCCGTCACCCACCGGCCCCATCGCCGTTGCCGCACGCCGCGGTAGCGCGGTCCGCCGCCGCCGCCGCTGGCCGCGTCGCCGTCGTCGCCGCTGGTGTTGCCGCCGTCGCGCGCCGGCGGCGGCTGCGATGTCGCATGCGACGACTCTCGCTGGGGTGGTTGGGCTGGCGACGACATCATCGCGTGTGGAAGGTCTTCGTCTGGGATATTCCGGGACGGTGACTCTTCCCTCTTCATGGTACTGAGTGTAAGCTTCGTCTCGTTGTGCTTCTGCGCTTCAGCCGCGTCGCCTTGCTCAATTTTCCGTTGATGGTGCTCTTGCGACGGATGCTGATGGTGATGCTGATTGCGAGTATGATTTTGATGCCCCAGGGAGATGTTTCTGCTACTAACCGCAATCATCGCATCTGATCTTCTGGTACTACACTTGTAACCACGTTCAGTGCTAACTGTGGGATGATCTTTTTGCCAGAAATGCAGTGCGGATGTGAACTTTTTGTCTGATCAGCAAAATTGCGATCGACAGGGCCTCAAACACCTCGAAATCTGATCGATGAGTTATTTTCCGTTCCCGTGAAAAGGCGTGCCGTTCGCGTTGCTCTTCGTACTGATGGACTTTGGAAGGTCGTCGTGAGAAGGATTTTGGAGCTGCAGCCGTCTAGAGGGCGGCTTCTGCCGTGCTGCCGAGATGCCGTGTTGAAGGAAAGAAATTTCAGAATGTGTGGGCTTTGGTTGGACTGGCCTTATTTGGCCTGGTCGAGCAAGGGGACTGGCGAAGCCACGGGTGTCGTCAATTGACGAGAGAGCTCGCCCACTGGCGTAGGGGCACAGCTGTTTTTGTGATTGGTAACCTGCTGTTCCCACCATTCCCCGAAATGACGACTGCGGAGCCGAGTCGCGTGCTTTGGACGAGACAAGAAAGCTTGGGGAAAGGTGATTTTGTTTGCTTGCAGGATTTCCTTGGCGCAAAGGCAATAGGGGCAACATTTTGCTCACCTTGATGGGTCTCATTTCCGAACCGCGTTCCCACCCTAGCAGAGAAAGTATCCTGGTGGAAGTAGGTGAGTTGACGAGCGATAAGGAGGATGCCACGTGGGAGGGACTACGCGACCAGGTCAGCCCTATGAAGGATGTGATTGGACAGATACTCATAAGGTTGGAGAGTCTGGCGTTTTGTGCGTGGACCGGGTCAGCGTTACGGTCAACTACTAGGTACACCCAAAAATCTGGCCCCAAGTGCACGTTTGGATGTTTCTTTGAAACGTCGTCGCTCCTATGACGATTTATCGCAAGCTCACAACCAATAGTGAGTAAATGTTATTCCGTTGATTGCGGGAAACCAACCTGCGATGCGTTCGGAGACCTACTGTAAGACTTCCGTCAACTACCTGCCGATAGACCTGATTCAACGGTCGCAACTCGAGCAATTTGGAGCTTTATGCATTCGATACGACTACAACCGGTGCTTTGCAGACTGATATCGTTCTCAAATCCGACTGTAAGTTTTCACTTGCATCGTGTGACTAGTTTGTTTTGATTGTTCCCTTAATCAATCACATTAACGGAACATATCCTGGCCAGACACGTTAAAAGTCTTAACCTTCACTGGGTAGTGTAGTTGATTATGCTTAGAAATACTAGCAGAGCTAATATGGCTTAGTACGAAGTGCAATCATTGGTGCACTATTCTCACTTTTGCACTCGTTGGAAATTCTCTACACTCTCAACAACAGCATTGATCTACAACGATTAATACAGTCCGCAACATTCTTTCCCATCCATTGATACACCCCTTCCATACCTCCTAACTTGCCCTCTTCCAATAACCTCCCACCATCTCTCCTCACATCTTCACCTCCCCCCATCAACTCACTCCCCTCCTCCCATTCCCTCACTCTCACTCACCTCCCCCCTTGAACACTGCCTTCCTCAACCGGTTCCCACCGATCCATATCTCTCTCCACCACCTTGGCTTCACTAGTGCCTTTCATCCCCCTGCGCCCATGCCTTCCTGAGTCATCCCTCCGATGGAGAATATGACTACTCTGATCCATTCCTTGCTGCCCACCTTGCAAATCCCACCAGGGTCTTCCACTTGCACATCTACCATACGCCTCATCATCATGACTTCCACTGTATCTCCCACCATTTCCATCATCGCATGAACCACTCCTCCCCCCATCCCTCCCCTGCCTCCCCCCATCCCTCCCCTCCCTCCCCCCATCCCTCCCCTCCCTCCCCCCATCCCTCCCCTCCCTCCCCCCATCCCTCCCCCCATCCCTCCCCCCATCCCTCCCCCCATCCCTCCCCCCATCCCTCCCCCCATCCCTCCCCCCATCCCTCCCCCCATCCCTCCCACCATCCCTCCCACCATCCCTCCCACCATCCCTCCTACCATCCCTCTCACCATCCCTCCCACAATCCCTTCCCCCATCCCTACCCCCATCCCTCACCCCATCCTTCCAACCATCCCTCCAACCATCCTTCTCCCCATCCCACCCATCACTAACCCTTTTTAAATACCTACCTCTGTCGCTCCATTGCTCAACCAGCAACCCAGGCCGCCTCTCTCCCCCACTCCCTTCCCTTCCACCCCTCCCAGTCGCTCTCAACTCCTCTTCACCATATGACCTCGTTTCGCTCCCACCTCTCTTCTGCTTCTCCTTCTCCCACCCCTGCTCTCCCCGCTCCTTCATATCTTCATACTTCCGCTTTCCACTCCTCCCCTCCTTTTCCTCTCCAACCAAAGCACCATTTCCTTCCCTCTCACCGTCCCCTCGACTCGTTCCTATGCTCCCTGCCTGCCTCCTACTCCCACTTCGCTCCCCACTCTCTACCCCAAACCTCTCATCGCGATTCACCTCCCGTGCCTTCTCTCCCACTTCTCTTTCCTTTCTCCCTCTCGCGCTGTCTCTACTCCCTCCTCTCATCACCCTGCCACGTCCATCCCTGCCACGTTCCTCCCAGCTTCCTGTCCGCTCCCGCTCTCTCACCTTGCCTTGTGCTCCCTTGGGATTCTGAGCAGGAGCGGGAGTATGGGACCGGTAAGAGGACTGTCGTGCAGCCAGCGGAAAGTGGTTGGACGGAGGAGGATGAGTGGAGGGAGGAAGGTGGGTGGAGCTGGGAGGATGTGTGGATTGAGGAGGGTGAGTGGCAAGATGGGTAGGAGGAGCAGCAGAAGCAGGGAATGGTTCAGGAGCAGCAGTTAAGCAGCCGATGCCACCTGCTTCCTCGATTGCATTCATGTTGGTGTCTATGATAGAGCGCAGTACCTGGAAAGGAGAACAAGGAAACAAGGAACACAGGGGACAGTAACAACAGGAAACAAGGAACAGGAACAGGAACAGGAACAGGAACAGGAACAGGAGAACCGGAATAGGAGAACATAGATTAGGGAACAGGAATAGCGGGGCAGTGGGTAACCAGTGAATCCAAGGGGCGAGAGGAGAGGATGGACAGAGGGGGAGTAGAACCAGTGACCATTGATACATGCAAGCAGTGTGCAGAGTTGGTGGAGATGGATGGATAGACTTATGGTAGCTTTGCACGGGGACAGCAGGATTCAGCATGGGAATGGCACTGATACCATTTGCATTGTGGCAGTGGCACCTCAGAAGCTGCTCCAGCTGCAGATTATTGTTGTTATTATTCTGCCATCAATCTCGTACTACTACTACTACTACTACTGCTATAAGTATTACTACTGGAACTATTTTAAAGGTTCTCACACACCACGACCACACACACACACACCTGCACATGCACAGGCATACAAGAGAGAAAAGCAAAGGACGCAAGATCACACACCCACCCACCTCATACTGCGATTGTCTTCGCCCCTGCGATCTGTACTTGGTGCGCCGCCTCCTGACATTCCCCCTATGCCCTGCTGTGGTGGTGAGCTGTGTGGAATAGTTTCCATGGCTTGGCAGCTGCAGAGGAGACGGCTTGACCAGAGGAACCGCGTCAAAATCCAAAAGAGGCCGGAAATCAGAGCGAGAGCTGCGATTGGCTGTCGAAAGTGCGACGTCAGCTGTGTAATCTTGAAGGCGGGAGGAAGGGGTACTGCGTGCAAGGCAGAGCGAAGGGGATGGGGAAGGGGAAGGGGGTGCAGTGAGGAAGAGAGGACGTGCGGGGTGGGAGAGTTATGTAAGTGTGTTACGAGTCAGTTCAAAACAAGGGTGCAGATGTCAGTTGGGGAGAAACTGTCTCTTCTACAAGAAACGGATAAGTTGCTTTGTTTATTTTCGACGCACACACATGCACATGTTCGTGCGTGCGTGCACGCACGCGCATGTGTGTGTGTGTGTGTGTGTGTGTGTGTGTGTGTGTGTGTGTGTGTGTACGTAAGTGCGTGCGTGTGTAGATGTGAGCGTGTGAGAAGAAACAACCTTGCATGCAATGAGCTGCAAGCCCCATGTCTGCGGTTCCTATCCAACGTCCACAGGGACCGAACCACATCAGCAGCCATCCTTGCCATCACCGCGCTTCCAAGAAACTTCTCTGCTTCACCCTCTTCCACTCCCTCCCCCATTCCCTCTCTCTCTCCCTCCCCCACTCCCTCTCTCTCTCCCTCCCCCTCTTCCTCCTCTTCTCCTTCCTCCTCGTCCTCCTCCTCATCCTCCTCCTCATCGTCCCCCTCCCCTGCCTCGTTTCCCTCCCTCTCCTCACCCCCCTCGTCCACCCTCTCCTTTGCTACACCACAACCACCCTTCTCCCCACTTCTCCTCCCATGCTCTCTCTTCTCCACCCCTGCCCTTCCCATTACACCCTCCACCTCACCCTCCACACCACCCCTGCAACAGCAGCACTCTGAGCCCACCCGGCCTTGCCACCAAGTGTCCAAGGCACAGCAAAGAACGCCCACCACCACTCCTGCACCGATCTCCATCCCTCCTGATGCAATCTCCACCCCTGCTGCTGCTGCTGATGCTGCTGCTCCCTGAGTCGCTTCTTCAATCGCCGGACCCCCTGCTGTTGATGCTTCTGCACATGCACTCTCACTGGACCCGCACGCACCCCTGATGCTTCTACAATCCCTGCAGCGGTGAATGCCCTTATGCAGCACCGCTCCCAGCCACTGCAGCGTGCGGGAGAGAAGGGGGCATGGGATGGTGGCATGGGCTGAGGGAGGCAGAGGGGGAAGAGGAGGAAGGGGAGGTTGCAAAGAGAATCTTGCTACGTGTGCTTCTCTTTTCTCCCTTGCATGGTGATCGGCCAGTGTTTCTCCTCCTCCTCCTCCTCCTCCTCCTCCTCCTCCTCCTCCTCCTCCTCCTCCTCCTCCTCCTCCTCCTCCTCCTCCTCCTCCTCCTCCTCCTCCTCTTCCTCCTCCTCCTCCTCCTCTTCCTCCTCCTCCCCCTCCCCTCACTGCAGCCAGCAGCACCGCCTGTGCCTCCGCTCCAATCACTCGCAGACACCTGGCGACCAGCTTTGCCACCTTGGCGCTGACGTGGCGGCACCACTTGTGGCCATGTAGACTCGAGACTTGCTGCACGTGAAAGCTGATGGCAGATATAGAATGGGGCAGACTGTGGCGGTGGTGGTGGTGGTGCTGCTGCTGCTGCTGTTGTGGCTGACCGAGGGGATGCAAGTTGTGTTCCAGATAAGAAGACAGTGGGGTTGGGTGCAGCCGCACATGCGGCGCCAGGAGCAGCTGCGGCAGCAGGAACGCCAAAATGGGCGAGTATGACTGTGGAGCCTGTGACTGCAGCGGGTGTGACCGTGGCGCATGTGACTGTAGTGGGTGTGACTGTTGCGGGTGTGAGAGCATGTGAGGGCCGTGAAGCCACGACCGTACTTCCGAGCAGGCAAGGGCAGCCATGGATGCCGGGGGGAGGGAGGCGAGGAGGGACAGGGGAGGCATAGTGGGGAGAGCAGGGGCAGAGGTGGAAGAGGAGAGCGGCGCGTGGGGGAGCGAGGGAAGGGGAAGCTCTTCTCTGCTAGAGCCTGTTAGTCCGTTTGCTCCTGCTGCTCCTCCTCCTCCTGCTGCTGCTGCTGCTGCTGCTGCTGCTGCTGCTGCTGCTGCTGCTGCTGCTGCTGCTGCTGCTGCTGCTTCTGCACCTGCTGCTATTTCTGCTTCTGCTGTTCTTGCTGCTCCGTCACCTCCTCCTGCTCCTGTTACTGCAGCTGCTTCTGCTGACCCTCCTCCTGCTGCTTCTGCCTCTGCATGCACACGCTCTCCTGCTGCCATCAGACCTTCCACCGACCCATCACGTGCCACGTCACATGCCACATCGTGTGCCACGTCAGCTGCCACGTCACGTGCCAGTAACGCATCCACGGACAAATCACCCGGCAGTTCCAAGCCCCACCCTGCGCCAACCCCTGCCCCCGCCACTCTCACCACAGCGGGCGCGCCTTCATAGAAAAACGCCTGCTCGCTCTCACACTCACACGACCCCCTCTCTTCGCTTTCCCTCCGCCCTCCCACTATCCCCCGCCGCCTCCTCCGCCTCTTATCTATCCGCGCGCCCGCCCAGCTACGAGCACTGCAGCCGCCTGTACGAGGAGAAGGCGGGGAAGGCACGGAAGGCGCGGAAGGCGCGGAAGGCGCGGAAGGGGAAAGCGGGCCGCCACTTTTCGACCTCTCGCGCTGGTCGGGAAGAGGTGGGTTGTAGCGGGGAGGTGGCGTGAGAGAGGGGGGCAGCGGCCAGTGGAATCGGCGCGAGAGCGCGAGCGCAAGGCTCTCTGCCGCCGCCGCTATGGCTGACAGACGCGACACGCGCTCCGCCATGCCCTCCGCGCTCGTGCCGCTGGTGCCACCGGCCATACCGCTGAGACGGCTGGGAACACAGAGGCCGCTGGTCCGACGAGACCTGTGGTGTGGATTGAAGAGATTTATTAGTGCTTTCTTGGCGACCTACGATGACGACGATGGCAGACGACGCTCGATGCGAAAGATATCAGCGAGAATTAAGCACAAGCACAGGCATGCGGCATCGCCGCTGCCACACCTGCTGCTGTCACCTGGGGAAGAGAAAATTCGCCGCCTTGCTTGGCGCACCAGCGGGCTGACTTGGTTTTGCGGCTTTGTCGCTGGCGGCCACGACTCGCTTCAGCCAGACGTGACTTCCGTTTAGCGATTGTAATTTGGGATTCTGAATTTTAATAATGTTGATGTGAGTGTAGGGAAGTCAAGAGGTTTCGCATTCGGTTCACAGAGTTTCAAAACATTTTTTCACGCATTTCCTTCAAGGGCATTTTCGGTAACCAAAAACCCCTCCCCACGGCATTCAAAAACATCTCGTGTCCTTTCTAAAGTAACAAGGAAAGACACTAAATTGTAGTGGCGGTGATACGTTCTCTTAACGAAAAACATGAAAGCGAGTATTTAGTTGCAGAAACAGCCCATCACCACCACGTGCCTCCACCGTTGGATTGTCTCCTCTCCACCATGCTACCTCACGCCGCTTTTCCGCATCGTCCGGGGGCGACAGCGCCGTCAAAATCGGCGCTCCTCGTCAATCCTCAGGGTTCTAAAGTTCCTACCACACAAGGTTCCCCATGTTTTCTCCCCCGTTATCCCCTCAGAATAATCTCCGCCTCCCGCACTCTCTCCGCCGTCCCCACTCTCTCCGCCTTTCCCGCTTTCTCCGCCTCTCGCTCCCCCTTCTCCTATTCCTGCACTCCCGCATTCCCCCTTAAACTCCGCCGATCCCATCCTCTCCGGCACCTCTCCCATTGGCGGACTCCGCACCTCCCCGCGCCCGCGCGCGCGAGCGACAGCGGCGGGAGAACCGGAGGCGGCGCAGACGCAGGCGGAGACGGTGCGGAATCGGGGGACGGCGGAGCGCGCGCGGGAGGCGTGACTGCGGACGCCGCCGCCGGCGATAACGGCGGGTTCTGGGCGACCGTGTCGTCCGCGATGCAATCAATGGCGGACGTGGTGACGCAGGCGCAGCGCGAGCTGCTGGAGGGGGAATACAGCGCGGGCACGCCGTGGCTCGATGGTGCGCGGGGAAGAGGGGAAGGGGGAAAGGGGGAAGGGTAGGTGGGGTCGGAAGAAGAGGGGGAGAACGGATAGTTGGGGGGAATGCAGGCGCAGCGGGAGTTACTGGAGGCTAGATGGTGCGGGGGGAAGCGGAAAAGTGGGAGAGGGTGGGGGGAAGGGGGAATGGGGAACAGGGGAGGGGGTGGGGGAAAGGGGGAAGGGGGAATGGGGAAGAGGGGAGGGGGTGGAGGAAACGGGGAAGGGGGAATGGGGAAGAGAGGAGGGGGTGGGGGAAAGGGGATGTGGGGAAGGGGGATGGGGGATGGGGTGGAGGAGTGGGAGAGCGGAAAGCGAGGGGCAGGGTGGGGAATGCAGGTGTGAGGGAACTGGGCTGATGGGAAGATGGGGAAGGATGACGTGGGTTGAAAGGGGGGGGGGGGGGGGGGGGGGGAGGGGGCAGTATGGGTTGCGTGCGTTGAGTTGTGTCGACTTGATTCTGTTCGAGTCGAATCGGTCTCATCTCATGTTTTGAGTGCTCACTCGTTTCTTCTCGGCCTGTTTGTTTCCCCGGGAACTTCCTCCGTCCCTCCCTCCTCTCCTGCTGAAGCAGATGATGACGTGTCGCTGCTCCATTCGCAGATTACCCCGTACAACTTCATCAAGGTACCCATTGGTTAAAGCACACAGCGGATGGAGGGGAGATGACGTGACCATGGTGGTGGGCAGATGTGGTGGGCAGATGTGGTGGGCAGATGTGGTGGGCTCTTCATGTTTCCTTCTAAACCCCGCCACACCACATTTGTCTCCCTTTTCTACATGACATGGCACCACCTTCTGGACGAAATTCGTTGCTTCATTGCCCCTGTGCTCATTCCCCTTGCTCACCATTCTCCCCTTCTCTCCACCTCTTCCACCCCCCCTCTCTCCCTGCGTGCCGTCTTTTTCTCATTCCTCCCATCCCCTCCCCATCTCCCCATCTTCCCATCTCCCGTCTCTCCCATCTCCCCATTTCCCCATCGTGCCCGCAGGTGGTGGAGGTGTCGCGCCGGGCAGACAACAGCCTGGCGGGCTCGCGAGTGCTGCTGCTGGACCAACCAGGCAACATCCACTCCATGCACTTCAAGTACAAGGTGGGCCGCTTCTGAGAGGCCTCGAAACAGATACGCTTCATGTCGCAACGCGAGTGCTGCTGCTGGACCAGCCGGGGAACATCCACTCCATGCACTCCATAGCCCTGAACAGGCTCTTTGTGTCACCTCTCTACCTTGCCGTCCCGCTGTTCCTCCAATCTGGTTTCTGAGAATTCTAAAAAACCACTCTTTACCTTGCCGTCCCTCTGCTCCTCCTACCCCATTTTGTTCCCTTTTGAGATGTCTCAAAAGTCGGCTCTTCGTGTCACCTCTTTACCGTGCCGCGCCTCTGCTCCTCCAATCCGATTTTGTTCCCGTTCCTTTCTTTCTCCGCATCTCCCTATACCCATATCCCCCCATCCCTTCCCCTTTTTCCTCTGCCACAGCCCTGGACGGGGTCCCACCCACCCCGCAACGATGTCTTCACGCTGCTGCCCCCTCTGCTCCACCCATCATCCTATCCTTCCTCTCTTCCTTTATTTTTCCCTCTCTTATACCTTCCCCCATCCCCCATCCCCCATCCCCCATCCCGCTTCCCGTCCGTCACAGCCCTGGACAGGCTCCTACTACGATCTCTTCACGCTGCTGCTGCTGCCTCTCTGCTCCACACATCATCCCATTCTGCTTCCTGCCCTTCCTTTCCCGCTGTACTCATATTCCCTTCCTCCTCCGTCACAGCCCTGGACGGGGTCCTACTATGATCTCTTCACGCTGCTGCCGCCTCTGCTGCCCTCCTCCTCGGGTCCCATCGCCATTCTTGGCCTTGCTGCTGGCACTGGCGCTCGGTGCGTGCATATATGGGTGCATGCGTGGGTGCATACATGGGTGCGTACATGGGTGCATGGGTGCATACATGGGTGCATGCGTGGGTGCATGGGTGCATGCGTGGGTGCATGGGTGCATGCGTGGGTGCATGGGTGCATGCGTGGGTGCATGGGTGCATGCGTGGGTGCATGGGTGCATGGTTGGATGGGTGAATGGCATGCCATGCCATGGCATGGAATAATTGCACTGTGCTGGGCGGGAATCGCAGGCCTGGACGTGCATGCTGTTGTGTGTCGCACATCCCCTGCTACCCAATCTTAATCTTACATCTATCCCATCTCAACCCACTTGCTCCTTTTTTCGTCGTGCCCTCTGTACTTTCCTCCTCCACCTCACTGTCATCCCCACCCTCCTCCCCTCCCCTCCCCTCCCCTCCCCTCCGCTCCCCTCCCCTCCCCTCCCCTCCCCTCCCCTCACCCCTCGCTTCCCACGGCTCCCCTCCTCTGCCCTCTGCACTGCGTGCAGCCTGCTACTGCGCCACTACCCGCACCTGGAGCTGCATGGGTGGGAGATAGACGAGCACGTCATTCAGGTCCGTCAGCCTATGCTCATCAACCTGCATCCTATGGAGCTTCCGCATCTCTCGAGTCTTTGCCTTTTCTCTGTTCCATTCCATTCCATTGCTTTTCCCCGTATTGTCAGCCACTGACAGCTCTGGCCGCACGTTCTGAACTCCCAGACGCACGTACAAATCACACAGGTCCACAGGAGGATTTGACATATAGTGACAAATATTCTCATGCCCTCTCCCCGCCCGTGTGTCTTGGTTTCTGCTGTCTCTGCTGTCTTTGCTGTCCCTGCTATCTCTCTTCTCTCTGCTGTCTCTGCTGACTCTGCTGACTCTGCTGTATTGTTGTTTCCTGGTCTCAGGTTGCCCGCACGTATTTTGATTTGGAAGAGTTGGAAGACGGCTCGTTTGCTGCCCAGGAGCTCAGACCCTATGTGCCTTTCAGCGATAGTGACACTGACAGTAACGAAGGAGACTATATGGGGGAGGAGGAGGAGAAGGAACAAGATCACGGAACGAGAGCAGCAGCAGCAGCAGCAGCAGCAGTAACAGTAATAGGAACAGCCACGGAAGCAGACCTATCGCATGCGGATGGCATTGGGCGTCTTGTAGCGCACTGTGGCGACGCACTCTCCTCGTCAGCAACCGTGCCGGGCGGCTTCGCAGGCATCATAGTGGATCTGTACAGCCGAGGCGCTGTCGTGGCGCCACTTCAGCGCGAGGACACGTGGCGCAATCTCAGCGGTCGGTTGCGCGAGGGAGGGAAAATCCTGGTGAACTGCGGAGGAGGGTGTGTAGAGGGGGACGAGTCGGTGCAAAGCGATGGAGAGGCAATCATGCTTGCGACTTTAGAGGCTATGGCTGCTGTGTTTCCACCAGAGTCTATCCTGTGTCATAGAGTGGGAGATGAGGATGGGGAGGATGATGGCAGTGATGACATGGATTGGGACGGTAATGTGATGGTGATTGCGGGGCATGATAGAATGCCTTGGCCGCTGCTTCCTGCTGTGCCAGCACCAGCGGCAGCATCATCACCATCACTACCCTTCCTAGTGCCATCATCATCATCAGCATCATCACCCACATCATCACCATCACCATCGTTACATCCAGGAGGAGTGGGTGGGGAGAAGGAGAGAGAGCAAGCAGAGGGAGGAGGGGTTGCGAGGGAGTGGGAGGAGGAGTGGCGGGCACGGGTGCCGGCAGAGCTGGAAGGGAAGGTGGGGCAGTGGATGCCGCTGGGGAGATTCATGGAGGCACAACGGCGACGCATGCGGGTGAAAGCAACTGCACGCCTGCGGTGACGCAATGTTGGGGTGGTGGCTGGCTGGGGTGACAGTCTGACAGGAGGAGTTAGTGGTGGTGCAGGAAGCACA